GGGGTATTGTATGTTTCAAATGGCAAGTTCATCATAGTGATCTAGACATTTTAGAAATCAAACTTGATTTTATTCACATGGGAATTTTAAAAAGCAGACATTCGATTGAAGGTCCCCTAAGTAGTGAATCAGTCGACGCAGCCTCCGTCACGACAGCCCGGTGTAGCGGTCTCGGTCACCTCGAGGGTTAACAAAGGCGTGTTATGTTCTCCCTCAGACGGTCAGTGGGACCTACTCAACTACCACCTCCTGGACCTGGGCCGGCCCAAGCAGTCCATCCGCTGCATGACCGTGGTGGCCGGGAAGCATGTCTGGTGCGGATACAAGAACAAGATACACATCATTGATCCCCAGAACATGGCCATTGAGGTGAGTGTGTGTGTGAGGAAGGGAGGGAGTGTGTGTGGTGGGGGGGGATGGGTGTGTGCATGTGTTTATGTGTGTGTGTGTTTGTATGACCGTGGTGGCAGGGAAACTCGTATGATGTGTGTACAAGAACAAGATACACATCATTGATCCCCAGAACATGGCCATTGAGGTGTGTGTGTGTTGGGTGTGAGTTTGTGTGGGGGTGGGCAGGGGTGTGTATGTGCATGACCATGGTGGCGGGGAAACACGCCCAGCTTCAAGAACAAGTTACACATCATTGATCCCCAACATCCTATCCAACATCTGTAGTCCTTGTCGCTCCTCTTTTTATTTTATTTTTTTTTTGTTTTGTTTGTTACTTTCTAGTCAGACCTCTAATCTTTGGCGTGTATATTATGACCTGTACTATGTTGATAGGGGCGTTTAACTTGTACCATTTCTGACCTGTTTGTACTGTAAGTGCTTTAAAACAGTTACTTAAACAAAACAAAACAAAACAGAAGCTTTGATTGGTTCTGTGCTCCTCCACAGAAGAGCTTCGACGCTCACCCGCGCAAGGAGAGCCAGGTTCGTCAGCTGTGCTGGGTGGGTGACGGTGTGTGGGTGTCCATCCGACTAGACAGTACCCTGCGACTGTACCACGCCTACACCCACCAGCATCTACAGGACGTCGATATAGAGCCCTACGTCTCCAAGATGTTGGGTACGCTGTGTCCGTCTGTCAGTCTTTGTTTGTTTGTCAGTGTGTCTGTGTGTGTGTTTCTTTGTTTGTGATGTCTGTTTACTTGTGTTGAATGTGTGTACTGAATGTGTGTTTGTGGTCTTCCTTATCTCTTCTCCTTTATTTTTTAGGTTAATCTCTAGTAACATCAGTTATCTCTGGCTCTTGTGTTACATATTTGTTTTGCAAGTGCTGTAAGACTATCTCATGTACTAAAACCATTTAACAAGAATTATTGAATATTGGTTTTTTTCTCGTAACTGGAAGAAATTACTACTGGAAAACAAGAAGGCTCATGTTGTTTGTTGTAAATCTAAGTGTCATTTTGAGGCTGTCCTCTTGTCTTGTTACCTCCGTTGTTTGTTATAAGTTAAAGTGTCATTTTAAGGTTGTTTCATCGTCATGGTTTCACATGTTTGTTTGTTGCTCCTGCAGGCACGGGCAAGTTGGGCTTCTCCTTCGTGCGGATCACCGCCATGCTCATCTCGTGCAACCGGCTGTGGATCGGGACTGGGAACGGAGTCATCATCTCTGTGCCTCTCTCTGAGAGTAAGTGCAATGATTTAACTACTCTAGTCTCTTGTGTCTTTGCTTGCCTTTTCTCTGACAGGCCTCATAAAAATTAGTTGCTGATTCGAATACTGCAATATTTTTTTCCAAACGAAGAATTTTTAAACACAGTTTAGCGTATTTGCAAACTGGATTTAAATGTACGCAGTTCACTGCTAAGTCTTGAAGATCGAAAACTGTGCTCTGTGAAGCACAAATTGGTTCTTCGTCACGAAGGGGTTAATCCTACTTACTGCTTTCATGTATGTCTCTCCCTCCCTAGTCTTTACAGTCCTCTCCCCCCCCCCCCCTCCCCCCCC